TTTCCACCTGTGTCCCCTTGTGCATGTGCCCCTTGTGTTAAATAGCCTGTCTTTATCTTCCCTATCAATTCCCTTCAGAATCTTGAACGTGGTGATCATGTTCCACCTATCTCTTCAGTCTTCCAGCGAAGTGAGGTTTAATTCCCGTAGTCTCTCCTCGTAGCTCATACTTCTCAGCTCCTTTGAACCTTTTCCAGTTTAGTCTTATCCTTGACTAAATATGGACTCCATGCTGAGGCTGCATACTCCAGGATTGGCGTCACATATGTGGTATACAAAGTTCTGAATGATTCTTTACTCAAGTTTCTGAATGCCGTTCGTATGTTGACCAGCCTGGCATATGCCGCTGATGTTATCCTCTTGATATGGGCTGCTGGAGACAAGTCTGGCGTAATATCAACCCCCAAGTCTCTGTCTTTCTCTGACTCCTGAAGAATTTCCTCTCCCAGATGATATTTTGTATCTGACCTCCTGCTCCCTACACCTATCTTCATTACATTACATTTGGTTGGGGTAAACTCTAACAACCATTTGTTCGACCATTCCTTCAGCTTGTCTAGGTCTTCTTGATTCCTCAAACAGTCCTCTTCTGTCTTAATCCTTCTCATAATTTTGGCATCGTCCACAAACATTGAGAGAAATGATTCTAATCCCTCCGGGAGATCATTTACATATATCAGAAACAAGATAGAACCGAGTACAGAGCCCTGTGAGACTCCATTGGTGACTTCACGCCAATCGAAGGTCTCACCCCTCACCGTAACTCTCTGCTTCCTATTGCTTAGGTACTCCCTTATCCACTGGAGCTCCTTACCGTAAGCTACACCTGCCTGTCTCTCCAGCTTGTGTTCCAGCCTATTATGCGGTACTGTGTCAAAGGCTTTCCGACAGTCCAAGAAAATGCTGGCCGCCCAGCCCTCTCTTTCTTGCTTAATCTTTGTCACCTGGTCGTAAAATTCTATTAAGCCAGTCAGGCAAGATTTACCCTCCCTGAAGCCATGTTGGCGATTTGTCACGAAGTCCCGTCTCTCCAAATGTGATACCAGGTTTTTTCTCACGATCTTCTCCATCACCTTACATGGTATAGAAGTCAAGGACACTGGCCTGTAGTTCAGTACCTCTGGTTCAGTACACTATGGAGAGTGGCAAGCAAAGTGCCTCTGCACACTCTTTCAGTACCCATGGCGAGATCCCGTCTGGACCAACAGCCTTTCTAACATCCAGATCCAGCAGGTGTCTCTGATGCTCTCTCGTAATTTCGTCAACCTGGTTTACTCCTAGCACAGTGACTCACCTTGTTCAGTTGTGAAGACCTCCTGGAACCTCTTGTTGAGTTCTTCACATACCTCTTTGTCATTCTCTGTATACATGTCCTCGGCTGTTCAATTTCGATTCTTTCACTGTTTCCTTCTGATGTGCTGTGGAGTAGCTTTGGTTCCCTTGTGTTATCAATAGCTTTTCTCTGCTTTATCTACCCTGTCTCATTCCTGTGAGAATCTTGTACGTGGTGATCCCCTAACCATTCTGTCTTCTAGCAACGGGATTCTTCTTTTAATTCCCGTAGTCTCTCCTCGTAGCTCATACCTCTCAGCCTGGGTACTAATCTGGTGGCAAACCTTTGAACTTTGGGGGCTGCATACTGCCAGCAATCGTAGGTGCTTTGTATAGCACATATATGCTATACAAAGTTCTGAATGATTCCGTACACAAGTTTCTAAATGCCGTTCTTATGTTAGCCAGCCTGGCATATGCCGCTGATGTTATCCTCTTGATATGGGCTGCAGGGGACAGGTCTGGCGTGATATCAACCCCCAACTCTTTCTCTCTCTCTCTGACTCTTGAAGAATTTCATCTCCCAAATGATACCTTGTAACTGGCCTCCTGCTCCCTACACTTATCTTCATTACATTACATTTGCTTGGGTTAGACTCTAACACCCATTTGTTCGACGATTCCTTTAGTTTGTCAAGGTTTTCTTGAAGCTTCAAGCAGTCCTTCTCTGTCTTAATCCTTCTCATAATTTTGGCATCGTCAGCAAACATTGAGAGGAATGAGTCTATACCCTCCAGGAGATCATTTACATATATCAGAAACAGGATAGGACCGAGTACAGAGCCCTGTGGGTCTCCACCTGGTGATTTCACGCCAATCTGAGGTCTCACCCCCTCACTGTAACTCTTTGCTTCCTATTGCTTAGGTATTCCCTTATCCACTGGAGCACTTTACCAGCTACTCCTGCCTGTCTCTCCAGCTTATGTACTAGCCTCTTATGGGGTACTGTATCAAAGGCTTTCCGACAGTCCAAAAAAATGCAGTGCGCCCAGCCTTCTCTTTCTTGCTTAATCTTTGTCACTTGATTGTAGAATTCTATTAAGCCAGTAAGGCAAGATTTACCCTCCCTGAACGCATGTTAGCGATTTTTCACGAAGTCCCTTCTCTCTAGATGTGTTACTAGATTTTTTCTCACGATCTTCTCCATCACTTTGCATGGTATACAAGTTAAGGACACTGGCCTGTAGTTCAGTGCCTCCTGTCTGTCACCCTTTTTGTATATTGGGACCACATTAGCCGCCTTCTATATTTCTGGTAGGTCTCCCATCTCCAGTGACCTACTATACACTACGGAGTGGCAAGCAGAGTGCCTCTGCACACTCTTTCAATACCCATGGTGAGATCCCGTATGGACCAACAGCCTTTCTCACATCTAGATCCAACATGTGTCTCTTGACCTCATCACTCGTAATTTCGAACCCTTCCAAGGCCGCCTGGTTTATTGCCCCTTCTTCTAGCGCAGCAACCTCACCATGTTCTACTGTGAAGACTTCCTGGAACCTCTTGTGTAGTTCCTCACACACATCTTTGTCATTCTCTGTATACCTGTCCTCGCCTGTTTTAAGTTTCATTACCCGTTCTTTCACTGTTGTTTTCCTCCTGGGGTGACTGTGGAGTAGCTTTGGATCGATGTTGTCTTTGTTTGCTATATCATTTTCATAATTTTTCTCTGCTTCCCTTCTCACACTAACATACTCATTCCTGGTTCTCTGGTATCTCTCTCAGTTTTCTGGTGTTCTGTTATTTCGGAGGTTCCTCCACCCCATTTTGTTCATTTCATTTGCTTACATACATGCCCTGTTAAACCATGGATTCTTCTTTAGCTTCTCGGATTTTTCCCTTTGGGCCGGGATTTACTGCCTGTGTGCTGCCTCCTGACACTTTTGGGAGACATAGTCCATCATGTCTTGTACAGACTTAGCTCTGAGGTCTGTGTCTCGTGGTATATCCCTTAGGAAACTTCTCATCCCCCTCATAATTCCCTTTTTGGTATGCCAGCCTTTTGTTTCCTAGTTCTTTTTTTTGGGGGGGGGGCGATAAGTCCTAGCTCTACCAAGTACTCAAAGATCAATACACTGTGATGACTCATTCCCAAGGGTGTTTCCATCTTAACCTCCCTTATATCCCACTCATTCAGGGTAAATATCAGATAAAGCATTGGTGGTTCATCCTCCCTTCTCATTCTTGTCGGTCCTTTGATGTGTTGGCTTAGAAAGTTTCTTGTTGCCGTGTCCAGTAGCTTAGCTCTCCAAGTATCTGGTCCTCCGTGCGGGTCTCTGTTCTCCCAGTCTATCTTCCAGTGGTTGAAGTCCCACATGATTAGTAGTCCAGATCCATTCCTATAGCGAGAGACGCTGTTCTCTCTATTATGTTAATGGTGGCCATGTTGTTTCTATCATATTCCTGTCTGGGTTTCTGTCATTTGGTGGCTGGTTATATATGACTGTGACTATAATTTTATGTCCTCCAGTTGCTATTGTACCTGTTATATAGTCACAGAAACCTTCACAGCCCTGAATAACCATTTCCTCAATATCCTAGCCTTTTTTTACCAGCAGAGTTACACCACCACCTTCTGTACCTTCTCTCTCTTTCCCTCACAACACAGTAGTCTTGTGGAAACACTGCATTTGTTATGGTTTTCGTTAGTTTTGTTTCTGTGAGTGCTATTATGTCTGGGTTTTCATCAAGCACCCAATCTCCAAGTTCATTTGTTTTATTTGTAATCCCATCTATGTTAGTGTACATTATCTTGAGACTGCCTTTCTTCTGTCCCTTCTCATGTTCCCTTCTTGGTGCGTGTTCTGCTGATAGGGGAAGCTGTTCCATTGGCATGAAGATTTGTGGGGTGGGTAATGGGGTCTCAGAGGATACTGGAGTGAGGGGTGGGGGGTCAAGTGAAAGGGGGGACAGGGAGGGTATGGGATGAAGGGTGGGAAAGTTTCATGGTGGGAGAAGGGGAGGGGTAGAAGGGTGGGAGTGGGGTGAGGGGGGAGGGAGAGGTAGCTGAACATTTGAGTGGGAGGCAGGGAGGGTTTGGGGTAGGGAAGGTTTCTATGCAGAGGAGGATGGTGGAATTGCCCTCCCCTCTGGTGTTACTGGGTTGCTGGTTGTGGGTTCCCCCCTCCCCCCTCACCCCTGGGGATGTTGTGTTGGGAGCTGTGTTTTCCTGGATTTCTCCTCTCGCCCGGCGCTTCTTCCTTGCTTCTGCAGCCATGGCTCTCTTCTCCCTCGTCATGTCCCTCTGGAGGAATACTTTTTTTAATTCTCCCACAAATTGCAGGTGGTTCTTCCTTGTTAGAATCTTCTCCTATGTGGTCTCGTTTGCAAACACTATCTTTGTGTGTTGTGTGTCCTTGTTGTGTATGTGTGTGTGTGTGTGTGTGTGTGTGTGTGTGTGTGTGTGTGTGTGTGTGTGTGTGTGTGTGTGTGTGTGATTGTGTGTATGTGTGTGTTTGCAACAAGTGTGAATAATATATATATAATTGAGTAAATCATGTGCTTAAACTCTTTTTAACATTATGTATTTCCATCCCATTTGTGCTCTTAACCTTCCTCCCTTCCTTCTGTCCCTTCTCTCCCTTCATGAACCCCTGTCCCTCCTCCTAACCCCTCCCCCCTGAATCCCATCCCTTCCTCACCCCTCCCTCCCTACCTCCCCTCCTCAGGTGAGAGATCTCAACGTGGTGAAGTATGCAGACTTCGAGGACCACCGAGGGAGAGTGACGACCACTCTGGGCCTCCGCTGGATGGCCCCAGAGTACTTCCACAACAACATGGCCCGGGTCACCTGTCGGGCAGCTGTGGCCGGCCACTCCACCACAGCATCCAAAGATATTTATCTCGACCCAGCATCCAGCGCCGCCTTCAACCATCCCTACGGATCCACAGGTGGGTGAGAGTTCCCAGCCCACCAATCCTCCCCACCCGGGTTGCCACGGGTGGTTTTGGGTTGCCACGGGTGGGTTTGGGTTGCCGTGGGTGGGTATGGGTTACCATGGGTACGTATGGGTTCCCAGGGTGGGTATGGGAGGAGTGTGTGTGTGTGTGTGTATTCTTTGATCCAGACGCGAGGTGTGGAGGGTAGTCCACTGGACGGGTGGAGGCTAGCTCAGAGGGATTGAATGGGTTGACTACGGTTGATGGATGGCGCTGTGACGGGGTTTTCACCTAGTTTTACATTGAATGTGTTTTGTACTTTTATTGGACGTAGTTACATTGCGACTGGAGGTAGCTTTACTGTGAATAAAGATTTTTTTTATTATGATTTGAAGCATTTTACTATGATTAATTCATAGATTAATTCATTAGAAAAAGTTTTACTGTGATTAGAGGTGGTTTTACTGTGGGTTAAGATATAGTTTTACTGTGATTGGAGGTTCTTCCACTGGTAATTTAGCTAACTTTGCTATCACTGGAGTCTGTTTTAATGAGTTTTAATTGTTTTCTGTAGGAAATTTAAGCCTTGTGGAAGTTTAGATCTTTTTACTTGATGAACAATATTTCCATCATTAGTGCCGTAAACATCATGTTAATATAATGACTGTAGTCCCACCGCCAACATCATAATACAATGACTGTAGTCACAGCCGCTTTCACTATCATTATCTCCATGCTCATTGCCATATTCATCATTTATTGTTTCATTTCCTCGTAAATCCCTCAACAACTCTTCACCTAAACGTCAACAAACAATTGCATCACTCAGGATGGCCTAGGTGCGGCAGGGTAATTACAATAATCAACCCTGTGAAGCGCAACGTCTGCAGGCACTAAAACAGTATTTCGCCAATTACTCTCCTCTTCCCCACCCTTCCCTCTCCCCCCTTAATTAGGCTCGTTAATTAGGTCATTATCCAGCTGCTAATTAGGCCTCACATTCACCTCGACGTTGTTTATATCAAACGTTTTCCAGATGTGTTACGAGAGAGCCGGTAATGGGACTTGATATGCAAAATATAATTCAAGATGAATCAATAATAATTTACAGAATGATAACCTAGTTTCATTATCATGGGTGATTTCCACTATGAATAAATAGACTGGGACGGAAGGAACACTTTTGATGAGTCTCATACATGGAGGGAAAGGCTTTTGCTGCTATTGAATAGATTGTTTTCTAAATCAAAGTGTCAAAGAGGAAAAAGTTGGTACTCAAGGGGAAAGAATAGAGGCGTGGGTCAAGGTAAGGCGGTGTAATTATCAGGAGAAAGCGCTAAGCCAGTGTGACCATATAGCACTTGGAAGGAATATAGCACATATAGAAGAGATGATACAATATCCAGTCACTCGACCCACTGTATGTCACACTCCGACTCTCTGAACAAAAGAAAAAAGGAGTAATGTCGTCGCTCTACCGACCAGTCAATGTAGACTGACAATGTTGAACTGGGTAAAGGACTTCATATTCTTCACGTGTAAGAGAGAAATAATAGATTAGTTGGAGAGATCAGACTTGAGATTTAACCGGAGTACTTCAGGGAGCACGACTGAGACCGGCACCATTCCTAATATATATCAAAGATTAACTGAGTAATCAGGATACAACATGTCAATATTGCTCAAACGGTGGGAATTTGATGGAACAAATGATAACAGAAGAGTGTTGCGAAATGCTTCAGAAGGATCTGATATAAGTCTAAGAGGTGGTGGAGAGTGGCTGCTTGAATCCAATTCAAGCAACTGGGAGGTGATGAGATTTGGAAAGAAAGTGAGAAGAATTTAATGCCATTTCACACGATGAGGGGAAGATGACTGCCCGAAGAAGACAAGGGAAACAAATCGAGGAATTAGCGACCTGTTCAATCCTCAAAGAACATCAGTCCTCTAATCAGAGGGAAAACAAATTTAAGGTATAAAATTATCAGCACTCGCGAAGCTGTCGAATATTCGTGGATGTTTCAGGCACGTTGACAAAGTTCCTGAATCATAGTCGTGATTCAGGACTATGTTTGAGCCACGCTAGCTAACCTATGTCGCCCCAACCTACAAGCCTCACCATGAAACACAGGCCGGAATTAAAGGAATTTCAGACTGCTCACTAAACAATTAAGAACTGAGCAGTTAAAGACCTAGAAAGAGATAAACCTCACTACACTGGAAGAAGAGCCGTAACAAAAGCGAGATTATCACAACAAACACCGACAAAATAGAGAGAAAACGATGAGAAAACGAAAACGATTTATTAAGACAAACAACAGTGTAATAATGAGCACGAGGAATAAACAAGAGGGTGAAGCAACAGAGGAACCTGACAATGCACAAACAAAAAGGTTCTATTGTATACACAGTCAGACCATCACCAGAGATATCCTGACCAACAACACCGAAATAATTGATGGATACAAAAAGAGAGAGATTAGACATAGCCGAAGCACTACATATCAAATACTCATCTAACTATCAAAATCCAGCTCACACTTGAGTGCGTCCTACCATCTACATGACCAAGGCAGTTGTGTCAGGTCACTCCAACTGCCTCAGCTGACCAGAGCAAGCTTACTCACCTTCCTCGACTGGGTAACCAGCATGGAATATATTTACAACTTTTACTGTTACAAAATTGCAACAAAACGTGTCGTTTAGGGAGACGCGTCACGATATTAAATGTATAAAATGGACTTTTCAATAGTTTCAACTTTTCTCCTAAGCTAAGGAGAAAAAGAGAATATTCCTGCAAGAATCTTTGATCTAAACTCTCGGGGACGTTCCAGGTCTTCCACGAGACCAGAGAGGATCACAGGTCCCTCTCTGGAATGCTCCGAGTGCTTGCAGCGTCCTGGAAGTGCTCTCTGGATCTCCTGAGTGCCCAGGGATCCCATATAAGCCGAGAGTCCCTCTGGGGGTTCTCCAGGTGCATAAGGCTTCTTACGGTGTTGCAATTCTGATTCAGGTTAATGCGGGGTAATCAGTCACACTAGTCATTAGTGTAACTGATGATATACCTGACATTAAGTCAGTTGTGCTCACGCTGCTTAATGACGCCATGGGCTGCTTGGATTAGCCGGAAACACCTCAGGAGCCCTGAATGTGGGTCTTGGGTGCCTGAAGATGCTTAATGAAACACTCTTAATGGCCGAATTCTGGTCCTCAGTTACTGATCTCTCCACTCCTCTTGCAAAACGATTGGGATTCCATTGGTTTCCTGTTTAAAACGTGTATCCGAGTTTTCCAGTTTGTGCGTTGGGCATGAGTGACAGGTTCATCCACTCGAGTTTAATAGCAGGGAAAAACTGAGATCGCGTTGGTTAAATCATCTTGGGGGACGCTAGACTCAAGGAAAGAGTTTTTGATTTCAGGTAATTAGCGTTTCAAGCAAGAACGAGGTGATGGTAGCAGTAGGAATGATGGTGAAAATGGTGGTAGTGGTGGAGAAGCAGGGTGTTGTGGTGCTTGAAATGGCCGTAGTTGAGGTAGTTGTGGTGCAGAAGGTGGGGAAGGGGGAGGGAGTGGATCAGGTGATAGTGATAGCAGTGGTGGCGCAGGTGGAGGTATGGATAGTGATGGTGATTGGTAATGGTGATAAAGTGAGGGAAAGTGGGGTTGTAGAGCTAATGACGGAGATTCTCATACTAAAATAGCGGAACTAGTAGATGGCGTTCTGGCAGTGATAGTGGTGACAGTGCTAGTGGTGGTGATGGTGCAGGCTGTAGACTACTCTGCTCCAGCGTCAGTTGAACTCTGTTTCACTGTTAGTAGATCTCTGTACCAGCGTCAGTAGAGCTCTGGTCCAGTCTCAATAGAGCTCTGTCTCTAAAAAGTTTCTGTATAAGCCTGCCCTTCCTTGACTTTCTTGTCATATAAGTTGAAATATCATATTTACAAGTTCAAACCTGATATCTGCATCCTTCGGTGTTATCTTATTGACTTGGTGCCTCCACCTAGTAGCATCAGTCCTCAGGTAACTTATTGGGGTACCAGGTACCTTGTTGAGGTACCAGGTACCTTGTTGAGGTCACAGGTACGCTTCTGAGGTCCCATGTACCTTGCTGAGATCACAAGTACACCTCTGAGGTCCCATGTACCTTGCTGAGATCACAGGTACGCTTCTGAGGTCCCATGTATCTTGCTGTGATCACAGGTACGCCACCGAGGTCCCAGGTACCATATTTCGGTCATAGGAAACTTACTGAAGTCCTACATACCTAACTGAGGTCCTAGGCATCGTACTAAAGTTCTAGATACCTTCTTAAGGTCCAAGGTACACTACTAAGGTCGCAGGTACCTTACTCGTTCAAGCGGTGGCCGACTGCCAATCAGATGCATTCATCAATGTTAATCATTGTATTGTGTTGAAAACTGACTCTTTTATCGTAGATTTTTATTGATATTCATCAGCGTTTTGTGTTTAGATAATCCTACGTTAGGTAAGGTGTTTATTGGTTCCGTCGGCAATGATTGGCGTTTATAGTTCTTTGTGAAGGATTTAAAGACGTGATTCAAGAACACAAACGTGAGCAAAACACCGTTGAGATAAACCTCGAGTATCACCAACTGTTAGTCACGTCTAGTGTTTTGTCGGTTGAATTAACAAGCATTTTGGCTCTTGTTCGTGAGAACGAGTTGCAGAAATCAGTTGTTCTATACCTTGAGGGACAAGTGGTTTTCTGTAACTTGAGGGACAGGTGGTGTTCTGTAACTTGAGGGACAGGTGGTGTTCTGTAACTTGAGGGACAGGTGGTGTTCTATACCTTGAGGGCCAGGTGGTGTTCTATACCTTGAGGGCCAAGTGGAGTTCTATACCTTGAGAGCCAGGTGGTGAACTGTACCTTGAGGGCCAAGTGGAGTTCTATACCTTGAGGGACAGGTGGTGTTCTATACCTTGAGGGCCAGGTAGAGTTCTATACCTTGAGGGCCGAGGTGGTGTTCTATACCATGAGGGCCAAGTGGAGTTCTATAACTTGAGGGCCAAGTGGAGTTCTATATCTTGAGGGACAGGTGGTGTTCTGTAACTTGAGGGACAGGTGGTGTTCTATACTTGAGGGACAGGTGGTGTTCTATACCTTGAGGGACAGGTGGTGTTCTGTAACTTGAGGGACAGGTGGTGTTCTATACCTTGAGGGACAGGTGGTGTTCTATAACTTGAGGGACAGGTGGTGTTCTGTAACTTGAGGGACAGGTGGTGTTCTGTAACTTGAGGGACAGGTGGTGTTCTATAACTTGAGGGCCAGGTGGTGTTCTGTAACTTGAGGGACAGGTGGCGTTCTGTAACGTGAAGGACAGGTGGTGTTCTGTAACTTGAGGGACAGGTGGTGTTCTGTAACTTGAGGGACAGGTGGTGTTCTGTAACTTGAGAGACAAGTGGTGTTCTGTAATTTGAGGGACATGTGGCGTTCTGTAACTTGAGGGACAGGTGGTGTTCTATAACTTGAGGGACAGGTGGTGTTCTATAACTTGAGGGACAGGTGGTGTTCTGTAACTTGAGGGACAGGTGGTGTTCTGTAGCTTTAGGGACAGGTGGTGTTCAATACCTTGAGGGA